GGGTTAGGTAGTTTTAAAGTATACTCCACCTTAAAAAATGGTTCTGACCACTGTTCCTGTGAATCTGCCCGATGGTGCTTTATACCAGGCTTTGCCGTTTCCATTGTCACATATGCAGAGATGGTCCATGAGACCGTTGCAATATACAAAGCACTTCCCTAATAAATGACACAAAGACACAACAATGAAGCAGAACACAAGACAAACAGCAGGAGCCCTATCTGAAATACACATACAATACGTGGGCTGTTTCACCTTCCAGAGGATATAGATATTAGTACTCTAGCCAGTCCTACAATTGACACACCTCTGTCACATTGCACAGCCACCGTGGTCACATCAGTATTGTCTACTGCAGCTTCCTGCAACAACTGCCTGCTCCCTGGACTATGAATGAGTATCATCACACCCCGATGTCCTTCCTGTGCTCCATTTCTGGTATCTGGAGTGCGGGGATAACTAAATACTCCCTGTGCCTGAAAACAGAGGTTAGGTACCCGATGACGTCTTTTCCATGAATCTTCCAGGACAGCAGGGATTTCTGTGCTGTCCTGGAAGATGAATTGGGAAAACCAGTTAGACTGGCAGCATTGGGCAACCTTCCACTCTCAGTCTGGGATCTGCTATAGAGGATTCTGGAAAACTACAATGATACATTTTAGTACTAGCAGCGTTCCAACATATTTTATAAATGGGAGACAATAAAAGACGTCTATTGTTGGGGTTTACATATACTTTAGTAGCGATTTTTGGGACTCTGACCACTTAAGCAGACAAATAAACACGCAGGACTTACCTTTGGTGAAGGGTTTGCTCTGGGCCTGAAGTCGAATCTTGACAACATCCAGAGGTGTCACTGCAATGAGCAAGAACAACCAATGAAGACTAGGAGCATATATTATTATGGACTATACTAATCCAACATTTGTTTTTCTGAAATGGAAACATCTTTCCCCAACTGCAGGTCATTGGTAAATGTCTGATTACATCTGACCGGCCACAAACAACTGTGGCTGCTTTTAGCCTGTCATTGCTTTGTAGAGGTGTCCTGGCTACAGCTATTCAAACACCTTTGATTTCAGCCTTATGAATCTGCCGATTCTTTCCTCTGGGATTCGCAGTGTAGCCCTGTAAGTGTGAATGAGGCCCTAAAGCAGAACTCTATGGAGTTCTGCTTTAAGGGTTTCTTAACCCCTGCAGTGGGACTACTCCCACAGGGAGAGAGGCTCCAGGACCAATGTAAGAGCAAGCTGGGCGAGTATAATTTTGTTATTTTTGAACCTAGACAAAAACGAGCACTTAACCCACACGGGCAGGGCCCTCCTTACCATCTTGTCTTGTATTGCGATTGTAATGTCTTCCTTAAATTGTAAAGCGCTGCGCAAACTGTTGGCGCTATATAAATCCTGTATAATAATCTTAATAACCCGGGGGGTAGCCCCAGTGCAAAGGCTAATAAAAATGTCCCCAGGGTTCTGCTTTAAATTGTGTTTTTGATTAGCCTTAAAGGCGGTTAAATACAATCTTATGGGTCTACTTATACAGGATGCATTGTAAAGGTGCCCATACACCTGCCAATTATCGTATGATAATCGCGGGTCATCCCGCGATCGCACGATAATCGGCAGGTGTATGGGCAGCGTGCAACCGCATCTACTGTACGTCATTTTCAAATCTTACCTGAGCAAACTGAAGAGAGATGCTGATTGGTTGCCCTGGGCAACTACTCCAGAAAAATCCACTCATCTGCGACGAGAGGACAGTGGAGCCTCACAAGCAGTCTCTAGAGACGCTCGATTGCTTGTATTAGCAGCTGTCACTGCCGTTGCCGGGCCCGAGATCCGCTGTGCCCGATGCGGCCGGGACGGCTCTGTGACAGGAGAGTGAGATACGAACTCCCTTTGATCTCCCTTTGATCTCCCTTTGAGGGGGTGAATAATCCCGCACGCATACAAGAAACACTGGGACACTTTGTGTCTTACTAAAAAGTGATGTAAGCAAAGCTCCAGCTGAGGATGCCATCATCTGCTGCACAGGTGTGATGTTGGTGGATGCCAGCACCGATTCATCCTGTTCCTTCATATTTCTGCAAAAAGAAAAAACACGGAACTTAATAAAGAACGCATGGCCAAGTCAGTTCTGTACAGGTGCAAAATCTATGACTCTTCCATCACACTCTGCAAACCAGCTGGGAAAAAAAAAAAAAAACAGCCGTTCTCCCTGCTTCGGCTGTCACCTCGACTCAGTCGACCCAAAGCATATGCATTCGGCTTGGCTGAGCCGCTGTACGGGCTATTGTGAAAAGCCCGTACAGCAGCACTTCAGTTCAACTGAACCGAAGGGCTACAGCGGCCGAAGAGAGTTGTAGGATCAGCCGAAGCTACGGCTGTATCCTTCGGCTCCATAGTGAATAACCCTCTAAATTTGAACTTTCAGTTGTAATATTGAGTTACGGCCACTGGATGGTGCTAAAGAAGCATAGGAAATTAGGTGTTTTTTCTATGCTCGATATGCGCCATCTAGTGGCCATAACTCAATATTACAACTGGAAGTTTAGACTTAATTACAATTGTGATGGAAAAAAACTAAAGAACGTTTGTTTGTGCGTACAGACACACGGGACGAAGGTTCACAGATATTTGTAGGGCCAACAGCCCAGCAAACTCTTTATAAATCACCCCCCCAGGGTGCACTGCGCACAAGTATCTCACCAGAGGTGACAGAAATAGAAAGGTCATTTTATGTCAACAATGAGCACCAAATTTGTTGTGTGAAGATTCTGAACTCCTTTAGTAAATCAGCCAAAATATTTACTTACCGCAAAAAAAGTATCAATTCTCGGACTTAAATCTGAAGTGTAATGGACATATTTAATAGTATCGGTGTATCCCTACCAAAATGTTATAGCTGCCACCAGAGCAGGAGGCGAGACCTTGCAATAGGGGACACCTGTCCCAGGGACCATCAAGAAGGCATACCACCTCACTGTGGTGACATTCTCTCTCACTTTCTGTTGGGTCTCCAGGACAGGAAGTAAAAGGGAAATCAACCCAACAGACAGCAAAATAAATCTGTTTCATACTCATTCCAATGGGAAGAAAAAAAAACCAAAAGAAAACATTTGGCTTCAAATAATAAAAAAAAAAAAAACAAAAACAAAAAAAAACACCTGAGATGTGACTTTAAACACATCATATGTTTTCATTATTTCTAAACAGCTGGTCACATGAAATCCCAGGGGCATTTACAAGGACAAGAGTTCCCAATTCTTCCAATCTAGACATTGTCCCTGAACATGAAGGGTAGCTGGAGATATGACTTGATTTATATAGATTAGCTCAGGATAAAAAACAAAATGCCTTGGTATCTTTTCAGCACCTTGGTGTATCCCAAAATGATGCATCTTATAACATTGCACTGCAGCATGCTACTTAACTAAATTAAAAGTTAGGAAAAAAAATTGTGAATAATGCAAAGCAGCGCATACAGATATTGCAAAGCACATCGTCAACCCAGTGTTGTTGTTGGCCAGACTTTGCATATTTTGTACTTTGCAAGCCCATTAGTGTCACCGTACCTTGACCTCCTGCAGCCAGCTCAGTGTCCTGCCTGTGTTGATCTTGTCCTGGAGTGCAGCCAGCGATCAGAACCCTCCTGGGAGTGCAGAGGTGTTGTCAGGGTGAATCTAGGACAGGGGGAGCACTGACCATCATCCCTGTGTGTGAGAGCAGGAAAGCACGCTCACTACATGTGTGTCAGCTGCAGCCCAGGACATGCTGCCAGGAGGAGTATTATACAAGACACCGTCCTCTCGTGACTGTACAGGAGGAGCCAGGAATCTGTGGCGGCCATGTTACTAATGGGAACCTTTACCATTGCATTTACTATAGTTTTCACTGAAATTGTTATTTAGAGAAAAGCCTTAAAGCAGAGAGTTTTGTCACTAATTCACTAATTCTGTAATAAAATGTAGAGGTGGTTTTCTACTTAAGCCACTCGAAAACAAGAAAAAGAAAATCCCGAAAAGTGCCCTAATCAAATATGGCTTCTTCTTATCGCACACCATTCGGTCACATGACCCCAGCTGACAGAAACGTAGTTGATTGGCTGCGCATTGACACTGTCAAGGGAGGTGCAGTAGTGTGTATTCAGAGAAGCACATTCCAGAGAGATGTCAGACGGTGTCATCAGCCTTCTGATAATGATGATTATTATTAATAAAAATAATAATAACAATAATATATGATGACGATCATAATATATAATACTAATAATAATAAATGATAACATAAATAATACATTATATATGATAATATAATAATAATAATTGCATATGATGATGATGATATATGATGATATTTATAATAATATGTGATAATAATGTGTGATAATATTGACAACACTAATTTATAATGATAATAACAATAAACAATAATATATATATGAATTTATCAAGGCTGGAGCAGACAGAATCTGGAGTCAACAAATCAGCTTCTCTCAGTTTAGATTAGTTTGTTAAGTTTAGATTTGAAAATTAAAGCAGACAATAGGTTGCCATGGGCAACTGCTCCAGATTTTCTCTGCTCCAGTTTTGATGAATCCCACTCAATGGGGAGAATTGTCCCCAATTGGAGCATTTGCCCATGGCAACCAATCAGCTCCTCTTTTCAGTTAAGCTTTAAAAAAGAGAAGTTGACAGGTTGCCATGGGCAACGTCTACAGATTCTGTCAATATCACTCTGCTCAGTACAGAACCTGGGCCCTGACACCCAGATATAAAAAATATAGAAATATAGACAGGGCTGCCCCTCCCTAATTCACCGCCTGAGGCGGCCAGGACAAAGGTGGAGCAGCAGCGGACGGCCAAGCTGTTAGCTTGACTCTACTGCCTTGGGCTGCCTCATTATGGGGTTATGGGGACGACCCTGAATATAGAAGTCTGGTGTGTCTAGGATCCAATAGAACTTCTGAACAAAACTTTGTAAACGCACAACGTCTAAACGCAGGAGAAAGTGATTTGGCGAACATAAAGTTGTTTATACTTCCCAGATGACTTCTCCTGCGTTTAGAAAAGCTGAATGCCAGAGTGCAGATGTGAATGAGGCCTTTTCACTGACACCGAGATAAATAAATATATAAATACTAATTATAGCAATATTCCCGCGTGCAGAAAATTTTTATTTTTGTGAATGCCACTACACTGAATGTACATAGATGATGAGGAGAGTCTCGGTGTGCATTCAGCCATAGCAATGCACTACATGCTTCCAGATAGAAGGGAAGGGTGGAAGCTGTGAAGGACTAAACTTCAATACAAATGAGTAAACTAAACATGAGATTGTAGTCCATCCCAGGAGTGAGCTTGGAGCGGTGACTACTTTACAACACACACAGGGACCATGGGGAACAAAGTAGCCACCCTCCAGAAGGAAGGACAGTGTCAGCACCAATTCAGAGATGATTGGAGGATCTACAGCCGAGTGATACACAAATAAGAGACATTTCGGTTAATAGTTAAGGTACTTGTATGCAGGGGCATAACTACAGGTCACAGGGCCCCATAGCAAAAATGTAATGTGGGCCCCCCTGTGAAGCTCTCTCTGAGCTGTAATTAATTACACCAAGATCCCAAAGACTCAACTTGTGCATTTGACATCAACTTTCCTACACTGTAGCCTTTACAGAGGATAAGGGTTGTCATCAAATGCAACCACTCCAACCCTTATTGATACAGTACAGTGTTATCTTTACATGTTCTATGTTTAGTTTTTCTCAACAACCTAATGGGGCCCCTTTCCACCTCCAGGCCCCATAGCAGCCACCTGGGCTGCTATGGCTATAGTTACACCACTGCTTGTATGTATTTTTAAGATTTAACTCCGGAGTTTAGTGTCACTTTAATTCTGAAGAAGAAAAAAAAAAGCAACTGGTAGACAACGCCCCGAACTGCCTTTTTTTGTGTGCAATCAATTGAAGACTTTGGACTGGCAGGACAAGGTTTTGGTTCTATGACAAGCAATAAAAATCTGTCTGAGGTTCTAAACCGTCCTCAATCTTACCAAAACGTACACTTTATGAAGTGCGCACATATGTAACGATGTGTCCTTCATGTGGAGTAAATCTTTTTTATTTGTTTGGATGACTTTTGTAGCAGAATATGTAGAAAATAAAACTGAGAGTGTGCACTGAAAAACAATGTAGTATATTTCTACTGAAATTAGCGATAGAGACGCCCGTGTTTTTATTTCTAAGTTCACTTTTTATTGCGCTAATCGCAAAATGCCAAGAAGGGGTTAACATAACATATGACTATCACTGCTACAGTAGTCAGTGACTTCAACCATACTATAATAATAATTATTATTTATTAGTGTTATTATTAATATCAAACATTAATATAATTATCATAACCTTTATAATAATCCTATAAATGTTATAATTTATGATTCTTATTATCATCATCCTATATCATTTTCATTATATTTTTTTTTGGCGCAGCGCCGAGAAGTGGCGGAAGGCCCCGGGAAAGCGGCGGGTCTGACTGGGTGGCCGGTGAGTTAGACATTGGGAGATGGGCAGAGAGCGGACCCTGTGCCCCCGGGGAGCATTCTGGGAGTCCGGCTGCTCCCTTCTGTCTGGTGGCCGGACTACAAGTCTCAGCAAGGCTTTGCCAACCCGTGCTACGTGTACAGACAGGCCCAGGCTGGGACTTGTAGTTCGCCACCTCAGAGGAGCCTCTAGGAGGATGCTGTGTGGGTAGAGGGGGGTCTGGTGGTGCCAGCACGCACGTCAGTCCCATCACCACATACTGACTGACTGCTCCAGCGGTATCCATGGAGATGAGGGAGCTGTGGGCAGCATTTCCTTCACTTACATATGTGAGTGGAAAGGAGAGTGATTGGCTGGCCTGGAAAGCTCTGGATCCCTTGTGTTGGAGTGCATCCCCTTCAGTGTATTAGATGTAAATACCAATTCTATGTGTTATCAGCTATATGCTGTCCTGGGATTTGTGATGTAGCTCCATTGTAGATGGGACACAAGACCTGTCACTTAAAGCCCAACTCCCGGCACACAGACTTTTCATATGTCAGTCACCAAGATATAATTCCACTTTGTGTGCATTGCATGCCTTTTGAAAACCCAGTTATTACCTATTAAAAGTAGCTGTGGCATCATCACTGTGCTGTATATAGCTTGTGCAGAGATGTGGGAGGGGCCCAACAGGCTCCACCCACTACAGGCTGCCGGCAGAAAACTACAGAAGAGAGCGGAAACCGGACTGGTCATCCTGAACAAGGCGAGAGAGCAGCAGTGACCGGTCTTTATAAGACCAGTCATCCTGCCCAAGTAGAGAGAGCAGTAGTGGCCGGTCTTTATTACAGGAGGGGGCGGAGATGAGACCGGTCATCCTGCACAAGGAGAGAGAGCAGTAGTGGCCGGTCTTTATAAGACAGTCACCCTGTGTGAGGAGAGAGCGCAGTAGTGGCCGGTCTTTATTACAGGAGGGAGGCGAAGACAAGACCAGTCACCCTGCACAAGGAGAGAGAGCAGTAGTGGCTGGTCTTTATAAGACAGTCACCCTGTGTGAGGAGAGAGCAGTAGTGGCCGGTCTTTATTACAGGAGGGAGGCGAAGACAAGACCAGTCACCCTGCACAAGGAGAGAGAGCAGTCGGTCAAAATATACATTTAAAGTACAGTTACCCTTTACACATCTTAAGGCCCCGTTCCCACTGCGTGATATGCAAATCACGTGTTTGTCGCGCGATTTGCATATTGCGCGACATCGCGAGATTTGCCACGCGATGTCGCGTTCAAGCTTGCACTGAGCAAGCTTGAATCGCGGCTAAATCCGCTCCAAAAAGGGTCCTGCTGTAGCGACCCGCGACAGCAGGACCCTTTGCCCCATTGGATTGCATTGGAGCGCGTTTTCGAGCGGTAATTTGCCGTGATATCGCGGGAATTACCGCGCGATAAATCGCTCAACGTGAACGGGGTCTAAAGCTGAGCTCCGCGTAAAACAAATATTAACCCCTTTGTGATGGGAGATTGTAAACTGTACGGCCTGCAAGAAAGTGCGCAAATGACTCATCAGGTACACTGTACGTGATTCGCTATGTGGGGTTCTGCAAGGCTGGTAACCTCAGCAGTTACCATTCATTACTGGATCGGTCAGTATTGATTGATCCATTAATTAAAGAGTTAAGCTTTTTCAGACACCCGGTCCCTTTCAGGCATCTGACAGTGAGAGCGGAGCATTTACTGCTCTCACTGACAGCTGGTATAGATTGGGAAATCACGATGTATACCAGCTATGAGACAAGGTTGCTAAAAAGCATTTAGATACCTTCTTCAGAGACCGCAACATACAGGGGTACAAGTAATCTTAAATTAGAATCATGAGGCGAGTGACTTTCACTCTCATAATCTGAGCCGACCTGTGACAATGAGACTGTCACACGTCGTCTCAATAGATCGGGAAGTGAGCGAACACATACAGGCGCTCGCTCACTTCTCGATCTATCCCTGCAGAGAGCCGTGACTGTCACGGCTGCAGGGATTCCCCTCCTCCCCTGTCCGATCCTCCAGCACTGACTGGCGAAACGGACGGGGGAGGGGGCGGGTACAGCTGGCTCTGGATAGGCCGAGCCAGCTGTCAATCCTGCAGCTGGGTAGATCTCGACAGCAATGTCGGGATATGTCCCGACTGCGGTGTCTCGGTATACAGCGAGCTTTAGCTCGCTATATACTGAGCTTTGGGTCACGGGAAAACGCTAGTTTGTGTTCTTCCGTGACCCTTAGGAGAATTACGGGTAAAAGCCCTGACCCCATAGTTCTCCTTTAAAAACAAGGACACACAGGGA